TTTTTTTTTTTTTTTTTTTTTTTTGTTTTTGTTTTTTTTGTTGCACTTGTATAAATTTAGCTTGTGCATTTTTTTTTTTTTTTTGGAAGCAAAGCACAGAAATTGAATTGAAAAAAAGGGAACGTTTACAGAGGCGCAAAGGGGAGAAACTGCCTGCGGATTAAAGAATACACGTAACTATGTACTAATCAGAAAAGTAAAAAGTACAAACTTGCATGCTTATATGTTTGCTTACATATGTAGTCCTTTTTCTTGTCAACAATGTGGGGGTAGCCTAAGAGAAACATATTCCCTTGGAAGAGTGCTATCAGGGGATACTCACCTATAGCAGCTTTGTGTACTGTTCACAGTAATTGTAATTACGGCTGCTTAGTATTAATAAATTGGCTAACGTAACAATATTTCTTTTTGCTGTTATTTTTTGCCGTTTGGTTTTTTTTTATTTTTTTTTTTTTTGCGTTCATTTTCGATTCCATATTGTGGAAGTTTGTTTGTGTCCCCTTTTGTTAGCCGTTCTCGCATAGTTCTCCTTTGTGTGTCCTTTTTATGTATTATTGTTTTGTTTGTATAATGTGCATTTATTCATAGTCACTGCACATCAAGTAGAAATGCGCTGTCTCCTTTTGTCAACGGCTGCGGACTATCCCCCTTCTACTTAACTTTCTTCCAAACCGCATGCTCCAAAATGAGTCAAATATATGACATGCTCGGTATCAACATTGATAAAATAAAGAACAAGAAGAAGCAGAAGGAGAAGAAGAGCAAACAGGAACTGAACTTCCTCAAAGAAAACGACAACCTGTTTTCTCTCCCCACCTCATCAAAAACGATAAACGTAATGACCTACACATATAAGTGTGTAATCGTATGACCATGCGTTGTACACATTTCTGCTATATCGGATGTAGACGCGGGTTGAAGCACGTGACATAGACTCACGCGTAGTTATGGCCTCACGTGGTCTACCCCTAAAAAAAAGCAAAAGTATCTCCTAAAATGGCAATAAATAAAACAACTTTTCTTCTGTTTTTTTTTCCCCACCCCCTTCAGTTCAGTAACAAAAATGTAAGCATCTGGAGAGTTGTGAGCTTCAGGAACAAATGCAGAAAAGACGATTTGATCCTAAAAAAGTGGAAAAAAATTGGATACAAAAATGACAAAGGTGAGAGAAGTGATAGAGGCTTGTTTGACGAAAACAAAGTGGAGGACGATTACACCTTTGAAAGATTTAATAAAAAAATAAACATCATAAAGTACACAGACGAACTTTACGAAAAAGAAATAAAAAATATGAATCCACAATGGACAAAGGAAGAAACAGACTATTTATTCAAACTGTGTGAAAAATATGAATGTCATTTCGTCATTGTGCACGACGTGTATGATGCAAAATACAAAAGAACCATCGAAGAAATAAAGGACCGATTTTATAGCGTGTCTAAGAAAGTTATTGAAGATATGTTTGATGAAAAAATTAAATTAGAAGAAGCGAAAAAAGTAAAAAATAATAGTGACATCCTTAAGTTAAAAGAAGCAAAAGCAAAGCACCCACTGGTAAAATTCACCTACAATATAGAGGCGGACATTGAAAGAAAAAATCTCATTCACAAAACTTATACAGTATCGAAAAAGGACGTCATGTTGGAAGAAATCACCATGGATAATATTAAAAAATTTGAAAACAAAATTAAGCAAGAGTTGAAGAAAGCTTCGGATATGAAAAAATTGAAGAAGAAGTTTGAGCTAACCACAGAGGAGATAGTACCGGTATGGCAGAGATAACCAGTGCGTAGGATGAGAAGCGCGACCAGGGCGATGCGCCAATAAAAGAACAATGAAAAGGAAAATACCATCCTCTCCTCAGTGATTATTCCTCTATACATGTTATATGCCCCCCTTTTTTTTTTTTTGTCACCACTATGCTCTTGCCCTGCTGACAGATAAACAAATTGCCCGAGGATGACAAGGAAGAAAAAAATATATACAGCGCTAGACACTTCTTTCAAAAGCTTAAAATAGATATCTCCTACTTTGACAAAATAAACAATTATTTAAAGGATAACGAAATAGACAAGCCGACAATCTACACCGAAAATATTTGCTTCGTATATGGGTACAACTGCATTCCCAACATTCGATTTGTTATGGAATTGCCTTTTTCGTCTGTGCGTATTGACCTCCATTTTGCTTTTTCATGTTTCTTTCTTCAAATGCAGCATTTTACGAACCGACGTGGCTATAATGCTCAATTTGAGGAAGAAAATTGAAAAGCTAAAACAGGTAAGGCATATCACGTAGGCTGTGCAACATGTTCCTACATCCCTGGAGCTGACATTTTGTTCAGCATTATTGTTGCTTGTTCGTTTATTCCGATGGCAAACGTTTCTGCTTGTTTGAGCTGTCGAAAATACCCCCACCATTTAACCATGTGTAACGGTTTTCCCACACACAACAGGAACGCGAATTTTGGAAGGGCCAACTAATGAGCTTGGAAGAGGAACACTTAAAAAAAAAGAACAAAGCCTAACATGTCTAATCAATGCAGTTAAAAAATAGGGGCAAAAATATGAATAACCGCAAAACGGGGATTTATTATTTTTTTTTTTTTTTCACATGTTTATTTTTTTTTTATGTGGAAAATTATCAAAAAAGGAAGGAAACAGGAATGATATATATTTTTTTTAATTTGCCAATGAGATACGCTTGAAAACGAAACCGACGTGCGCGTATTATTGCGATAAAATGTGGATATACAGCCGGTGTGCATGCGCCTATGCGTGCGTGAAAATACACCATCGCTCCATTTGAATTTCCCGGCGCAACTGTCGTTAGTGATCCGTTGTTAAAAAAAAAAAAAAAATTAACGAGCAGGTTAATTGCCGAACAAGGAACTTTTTGAGGTTATCCCCGTGAGGATCAAACAAAATCAGAATGCTAAAAAAAATTGGGCAAAAATTAGGCAACACTATGCCACAAAATAACGACTGTCGAAGCGCGAACGAAGACTGCCATCCCCTCAAAAGCATTCCAATCTTGGAGAAAGCATGCCAAGAGAAAGGAAAATGAGCCTGCGGAAAAAAACTCTATAAGTGGAAGGTTCACAGAAAGAACACCAGCGAAGATTTCCACACTAACACACCGTGCAATATCGAAATGAACGCATACATTCGAATGTACGTATTGGTGTGAGGCAATTCATAAAAAGGGGGAAATTCGCAGCAGGGGGAAGCGCGACATAAGCATCTCCCACACGGCACACAAATTAAAATTAAGTTCCCCATTGCGCAGAATAGAACAACCATTATATTAAGAATAGTTGCACAGTGTAACAGTTAAAGAGGGGGGCACATTAAGGAACGTCCTTTTTTGTGTGCCCCATTGCTTCTTCACATAACTCCCTCCCCCCTTCATTTTCTGTCGCCACGATACCCCCCTTTTTCTGCACAATGAAACTGCATGCAGAGTTCAAGCCAGATGGTATAGACGATTTTTCGCACGTCTTGAAGGGGCTCAAGGACTTCTCGTCCTTTGCCATGGAAAACTCCTTCCTGTGTTTTAAATTCTCAGAAAAATATCTGTACATATTTGGAAACGAAAAAAACCACGTGGAAATATTTATAAAGATTAGCATGGATGATTTATTTTACGATAATTTTATTTTAAAAAGCGCAACCAACCATGAAATTATTATCCTCGTTTATATCTTCCAAATATATGATATCTTTAAGAACGTTTCAAAGAGTACAAAAATAACTATTGATTTATTTGATAAAAATGGTATATGTATTTTGCTGTTCAAGCATCAATGCTGCGTGACAGATGCCTTAAAGAAGTTTGAATGTGGAATAGAACTTATTAACCCCTCCCTAACTGCCTTTCCAAATATGAGGGTAAATAAAAATGCCTTCTCTATTAATTGCAAATTAAGAAAATGTTGCAAAATTTTGAATACCTACTCGAAATTTCAGTCAGACAACGTGGAACTAAATTTCAATATTGCCAACAAACAGTGTGATGTGGTTTTCCTACTAGATTCAATAACGACGAAAAATGTAACAACGCTGAAAAATAATTACGTACTAAAGGATTTCATGGACAAGCAAGCCAAACAGGAAAAGGGTCACAATAATGGAAAATTTAATTTGAAAAAAGTTATATATATCAAAACTTTGACGAAAGCTTTGAAAATCCTCAACGAATGCAGAAATAACAAAGACGATGTTGGCATATTTAAAATTATTGTACCTTACAATACATGTTGGTTTGCTTTAAAATTGGGACAGTTCGAATCGTCTGGTAACTGGAAGGTGCTTATCGTGATCACGGATTTGAGTCCAGATTTGTAAGTCGCACGTGGTGTTTCTAGTGGGGAGATTTCAGCCTAATCCGTAAGGTCTGCTGGCCGCATCACCCTGTCTGTATGTGCATTTGTCCCATTTTGAGTTTCTTTTTTTATGTGATGATTTTTCCCTTGCGCTCGCTATCCAGTGATGTTCTTCGTTACGTGTGCATTCAACGCCCACGCAGCAGGTACACACTTAAGTCACATCATCTGCATCGTCACAATAATTTGTTTATTCACGTAGTAGAACCCCTGTCATTATGTATATTTTTTTGCATCCAGTCGTGATTCTTCCTGCAAGGTTGATAATAAAAAAAAAAAAAAAAATGTGTGTTGTGGGGATCTTCTCCCAGCATGATTTCATTGCACATTGTAAACTTCTCCTCCACGCTAAGGTATAACTGCTTTGCGGCACCATTTGAACAAGCGCTTAACACATTCGATGAAGCTTTTTTTTTTTTTTTATTTTGAGCGAGTTTTTTTTTCATCCCCAATGGGAAAAAATAATTAATTAACAAAATGATGTTCTCACAAATGACGCATTTCCCCAATTGATAGCAGTCTCTTTTTTGAAAACAAGACATGCATAAAAATTGGTGGTGGTAGTTTTTTTTAATTATGAGATGACGAAAACATATAAAAAGACAAATTGTGCAGAAAGGGCAATGTGGTGGGTGTTGAGGGTGGGCCAGACACCGTTGCAGATGTGCACCTGCGTGCTTGCGTCGTCACAGGGGTACTGACTTGTGTAACAAACCTGTGCAGTCACTTTAGCTTATGTACACTAGTAACCCCCCGCTCCCTCCTTCGCGCAGCGCCTCACAAGAACGGAAAACAGTAGCAGCATGGAGATGAAGCAGTACATACACAACAAAGTGATAAAGGCAGCTTGATACGTAGGTATACTTAACGAACTGAAAAATATACAGTAGTCATACAATGCGTGGAACAGGGAAGAAGTGAACAGACAGCCCAGCACGCTCAGCAACTTTGGAAAACAACCTGTAAATATGCAATTGGGGGGAAAAAATGAGAAATAGTGAAGCCATTACGCACATGTGATTGTAACACGCAGGAAGGAGTTTATTGCGGAGATGTACTCTCAACATTATAAAAATGGCAGCTGTTTTTCTCCTATTTTTTAACCATTGCTGCTTTTATGATTCATTCTCGAGGCAATATTGTAAGCAGCTACTCCGGAACAGCTCATGTGGAACAGCACGCAGATCAAATTTCTACATAAAAGGAGAAAAAATAATAATAATGAAATGAGCAGGAGTGGTAAACGTAACAAGGTAGCATACAAATGAAGGCGAAGTCGTCTTACCTTAACACAATTATGGCTAAGAAGTTTTGCCTTGTCGCCTTGGCAGCGTAAAGTAAGTTTTCGGTGCTCGAAAATCTGATAAATGGGGGAATGTTCATGAGAAGGGGGGGTAAGACGTGGCCCACTTAACACACATGTTGAGAGAGGTGGGCGGCAGAATCAGTTGGCAATTTTTAATCAAGGTAAAGGAATAACCCGGCGGATGAGCACAAGGAAAAAAAGATATATTCTAGTTTGTCATTTGCGTAAATGTATCTGAATTTATCCATCCTGCTGTCTTTCTTCTCATCATGGTCTGCTTCTTGTTCCGCTTGATTTAAGAAGGTTGTGTTGTCAAGGAGGGGTAATTCTACATACTCATTTTTGTTTTTTTCCTCATTCATTTGAACAAAGATCATTGGAAGGAGTTTAGACACTTCCTCCACGTACGCCACTACCAGAAAGAAGTCTGCGGGTTGAGCATACACAGGCGCATACGCGCAAATGCATTATAATTGCATGCATATTGTGCGTGTGTATGTTTTTACGTCAGGGGCGATTGCTTCTTTGCTGGTTAGCGAAGGTAGCACAGTTGTGCGCCTAATCGAGCCAAATGCCGACGAGCTTTTCATTTTTTCCTATATGCTATTCAAAATTATGGTAATTTGTTTTTGTTTGTTTTTTTCTTCGCCTTACAAAAAAATATCACCACTGAACACACAATAAGAAGAGTCCCCCTGACTTCCTTCACAAAACATATATAACAAAAATGAAAAAAAAATAATGAAAAGGCGTGTTCTAAGTTGCTGGCCAGAAAAACCGACAGTACAGCTCCGTACAATATCATTTCGACAGCATGCGCAATTTTTATTCTTCTTTTTATTTGTCTTCCAAATCTGCATGGAGGGGAAAATGAAAAAAAGTGTAATATACTTATATGTTCAAATTTTACATTTGAGTACTGCGAGTTGGCTCTGGGAAAAACCAAAAGTGAGCCGAATGACGTGCAATCGTTTTTTCTAACAAGTACAGATAAGCACAACTGGGGCAAAAGGACAGAATTAAGCAGACGATTCCATTTTTTCCGACGGTGACACAGGAAAAAGCTATAAGGAATGATAAAAAAAAAAAAAAAAATAGTAAAAAATTGATATAATAAATTAAAGCAGCTGCACTACGCCTTAAAGTTAAAACACAGGGAACCCCTTCCCCCGCCGTCAAGACGTTTTTTTTATTCACTAATTTATGAGAGAAAGTGAAAAATTACCAATCAGAAATGTTATGGAGGAAAAGCAGTACAGCAGACGCATACATCCCGCAAGGGAAATCCTCTCTACATTTTGTGAGCCTTCTTCGCAGTACTCGTTGGTCTACATTGTTCAGGGATTTGTTCGCGCAGATAAGGAAGCAAATTAATGAATAAGCTACAGAGCAAACGTAGGATTAAGTAATTTGTTAGTAGGCGCTCCGTATATTTGTGCAACTACCCATCGCTTAAACAAATTTTAAACCGCATAAAAAAGAAAAAAAAAAGACGACACATTGGTGTCATTTTATATATGTAGAATGGTTTGCTTATTACAAGGTTTATCCTTTTTTTTTTTTTTTTTTTCAAACACATTTGTTATCATTGAGTAATCATTCGACATATGTATGGATTGAACAAAGGAGTACTAAAAGTTAACATAACGAGCAATATGATAACATTCACGAGGGCGTTCGTTGTCCTCCCTTCGGAAGTTGCATACGTGCGATATGCACATTTTTGCAAATGTTCCTGTTTACATACCAATTCCTCATAATGCATTTTAACAGAGCTTGGGCGTGTAGACCTTTATTTTTGAGAAGCTTTTCAGTTTTTTTGCACGGGAAAGGATAAATTAATAGAGCAGAGGGAATGCAAACGTGAAAGAAGTTTTGCATTCCCATCATTAAAAGTAGAGAGTAAAAATAGCATAATTAAACAAACAAAAAAAAAAATAAAGCATGGTAAAGCAAAACTGGAAGAAACATATGTCTATCTATTATAAACATATGAACAGTGCGAGTGAAATGCGTTGTACCTAGTGAGACCTACCTTGCAAAGATAGCGCACTGTTTATATATATATATTTTTTTTTTCATTTCGCGTGCCACACAAGATAAGGGGTTAGTCCTGTTTGTTTTTACTATATGACATTTGCATACACATTCGAAAAGTAATCAAGTTGGGGGAAAAATCGGACAGAGTGGGCGAAAAAATGGAAAAAGAAAAAACAAGGACGTTGATGTTCATTTTACATACATTTTGTACGTCCCTTCACAAACAGTTCGCGTTTGTTTGTTTTTTTTACACGTAAGAACCAAAAAAAAAAAAAAAAAAAAAAAAAAAAATACACCTATGCGAAGGTTACCAAAACATGATTGTTAGTTTCCTTATGTTGGGCGACAGCGCCATGAAACTTTGTAGCCACGCACTGGAACAGATTTGTTTTCACAATTTTGTGATGACGTAGGAGTGGTTCTTTGCAAACTTAAATGTTAGAACAGCGGGATGTATAGCAGATCATACACCGCATATTAATTCTTTTCAGCCTTCCAAGTTTAATGGCAAAAGAAAAGGGGCTTATAACCACACAGACCGGTTATATTAAGTGAAAGGCTTAGTACCATAGGTAATAGATAGAGGTAAATGTGGCTGGAGAGAACACAAAAGGACAAGGAAAAAGAACTAAAAAAAAGGAAAAAGGAATAAATGCCAACTTTTCAGCTCAACCAGGGACGCACAATCATATACCACCAAATGGGCCCAAACGAGCCCTTATAGTGTTGCCCTCGTACGAAGGATTCCACATGAACCATATTCATATATTCCGAAAAGGTAGTGAGAGGAATTTCTGTTTTAAGGTAAATCCTGTTCAGTTGTGCATCTCTACCATAAAACCAAAAAGGGTAGAAATTTAAAAAAAGAGAAATGAAATATATATATATATATATATATATATATATATATATATATATATATATATATATATATATATATATTTATACATGTTCCTAAAGTGAGCATGCCACAAAGGGTTATCCAGCTCTGCAATACGATGTGATCTTGTGACACATGGCTTTCATTCCGCCTTTTGCAATTCCACGCGTTCGTGCGTACGTATGGCCTGAATAGTTAACAGCACATAAGGTTTATGAGAAATTGACCCCTGTGTTCATTTTGGAAAGTTCAACATATATATTTTTTTTTTTTAAAAAAAAAAAAAAAAAACAAAGGGTAAAACATGTTAACATTTATGCTGTGAAGCAAACTGGTATTCTACGTGAAAAGGAGTCCTTGTAAAAATATTTGCCATAATTGGGATGCCAAAAACAGAGGTGTTCTCATTAATGTACGGCGCAGGTTGTCAAACCAAAAAGCATTTTGTTTTTGCTAGATATGGTTCACTGAAATTTTCTCTTACCACCAAATTTCGCTAGTGATTTTATAAAGGTGCTTTTAGAGCGCACACGCGCACAAATGGTCGTATAGTACGTGTATATATAAATTATACGTGTGTAATTCATATAATATTATTATTATATATATATATAATGTACTATTATATTTGTAACGCCAGATCTGCGCAAATTATGTGCCTATTGTTCTTTTTTCCTTTATATAATTATTCTTTTATACCCCCCGTTCAAGTTCACATTTTTGTTTTAAACGCTTAGCGATTTTTGTTCATTTTCACGTGTTTTTATAACCCTTGATCATTTGATTTGAATGTGTTCACCATTGAAGGTAAAAAAAAAAAAAAAAAAAAAAAAAAAAAAAAAAAAATTTTAGGTCGAACGCTTTTTTAAAAGTACGTAACACACATAGCTAAAATGTGTTAATAAAAAGATTAGCAAAAATATTACGAGTAAGAATAAAATATTAATAAACAATCCTACTTGGTTGTGCTTCCCTTTTTAAAAGGTGTTTCCATTTTTTAATGAAAAAATGAGAAAGTTACATGTTAGCATTTTCAAGTAACAATAACATTTTGTATATTTTAATTTTTCATTTTTTCAGTACAATAATATATATAAACGCTACTTATATATTTTTATAATTTTTTTCATCTCGTGTGCGTGTTGAACAAGATGGGGATCCTTTTAAAACTGAATAAAAGCGTTTACGCGAACTGCAAATCGTATGTGTATAAGAGTGGTGCACATACGCTACTGGATAACATTTTTGACGCTTACTGGAACATTTGCATCAAGCTGGTCCCCAAGGTAAAGGCAGCAGCCCCTCAGCCCCTCCGCCTTGCAGATTCACTGTTGGAGGCGTCTGTTGCACATGTGTGTTTGTGCTTTGATGCACTAACGATTATGGCGCTACCTCCCATTCCTCTATCTTTTAACCATTCCGCCAATATGTGTAATTTCGTACATTTTCATTTCATCGCTTTCTTCGCCTCTCCCCCCCCCCCCTTTTTAGTCAATAACAGCTAATTTGTTGACACTCTTAGGATTCTTATGCTCCACGGTGGCGTTTTTTCTCCTGTATATGTTTGATCTGTCCAACAAGAAAAATGATTACATCTACTTATACATAGCATTCTTTTTGTTCCTCTACCAAGTAAGGCTCAATTTGTGTCTGCAGAACAGCAGTGCAACCCTTTTCTGGTTCAAAGCGATCGGCCCATTTTGGTTCCCAAACTATTGTCCGACATTTGGCTAAATTTTATGCCCCCTTTTTCCTTTCCCCTGTAGACATTTGATGCGCTCGATGGAAAACAAGCAAGAAGAACAAACACGAGTTCCCCGCTGGGGCAGCTGTTTGACCACGGATGTGACTCCATAACATCGGTATGCGCGCCCCCACTTAGTGATCGTACACCTGGGGTTGTATATTGCCAGTTAGGTTGCCCTGCTACCTACTAATTTTATTACATTTTTATCCTTTATTTTTTTGCCCCCCACCGATCATCCTCATCTCTGTTTTTTTCCCCGTCAGTCATTGTTCATGTTTATTGTGGGCAAAGCAGCGTGCATTCCAAAGGGATTACTTTTCTTTATGGTAATTATTTAAATTGGATTATTACATATAAAGAACATAAAAAATACAAAGAGAAAAATGCAAGTGGAAGCATAAATACATGGTCTACCTTTTTTTTTTTTTCCCCCATTCCTCTCTTTTGCAGCTATTGTCAATAGTGCAATTGCAGACATTTATGTTTTCTTGGATAGAGCACTATACGAAAGTGTACAACACGTCCTTAGGATCCATGGGAATAACAGAATCACATGTCATGGTAAAATTGGAAAAAAACAAAACACAACAACAAAGATAAATTAGAGAAGTGTTTTATATCCATTCATGCATTTTGCATATTTATATACATTTACCTTATTTCCAATTATTACTTCCTTTTTGAAGGTCATATCGGTGTGCATTTTTCGCGGATTGAAAGGAGCGGCATTTTTTCAGAAGACAACACTGAAGGATTTGTTACCAGGAAGCTTTCGGTTTGAACATGCAAAATGGGGAAAAAAGAAAAAGAAAAGTCCCTACCTGCTTAATCAAAAGGTTGAATAAATTGCTTCAAACACCTTTTTTATACGTACCATATTTGTCCTTTTTTCTTCATTTTTTCCTATTCAGCAAACTTCTGGGAAAAGCTGCCTTAAGCATAAATCTGACCCACATTATTGTAATCCCGGCGTTCTTTTTGTAAGGAAAAAATGAGGAAAATATGTCTCATTTGATTAGCAAACTTTTGAAAACATAAAAGCGAGTGTCCGTACATGTTGCCCCCAAATGAGCGTCCCGCGAATGAACCACCTGCGAGTTGTGTGGCAATTTGGCGCGAGTTTTCCAACATTTATAAATTGTTTACTTTTTCTTTTTTTTTTTCCCCCATCCCAGCCTTATACTCACCATCGCTAGAAGCACTTACATGGGATTACAGACGGCTAAAAAAAAGAGAAAAGAAGCTACAAGTGAGTTGCAATGAGCGCAGCGCGCAGTTTGTCATTATTTTACATATGGAATTACATATAAATACCTTGTAACGAATCCCGACATTTTGTTTTAAAAATTTCGAAATTCCCATCTCCCTCATTTTTTCTCCCTCTTTTTCCAGTCCAATTGGTGTTCTTCTACATATTTATGTTGTTGCAGTACTACTTTTACCAATCAAGTAAGAAGCGAAATGAAAAGAATGAAATGGGAAAGAGCAATGGAAAAAAGGTGGACCAAAAGACCACGTTTTTATCGCAAAAATTAACAGAGTTTTAAATTTAGCATTTAAGAGATTTCCCCACTTTTTTTGTACAAAACTCATAACCGCGCGTGTGTACTTTTTTTTTTTTTTTTGTAGCCGTAACAGTCAAAAATGAACTCATTTGCTATATTGTGATAGCACTCTTCTCGGCCTTCTACACCCTGCACATGAATATGTCCACCGTTTTAAAGGTAATTTTATTTTATGGACAAAGAGAGTGTGTGTACATATATATATACACATGTGCATATATGCAGCATTTGAAACAATTTCTCTCAAGATGCTGCTTCAAAAAAAAGAACGCAACTGCGTAAATAATCCAGTATATGACAAAATTACCTTCCATTGTTAATCCCCCTTCACATGTGACATATTTTTTTTTCCTTCCACCTCGCAGACCAAAATGGAGTCCTTCCCAATCCCCATCATCTTCTACTACCTTTGCATTATTTTGCTATTTATGAAGCGCAGAGTGAACCATCACATTTTAAAAATGGCCATTTTTAAAGAATCCTACATATTATACTACATGATGATATTTGGCTTCGTTTACTTGTTTGATTATGCATACACCATAATAGGAGGCATTTGCAAAGAGCTCAACATCCCCTTTTTGTTCAACAAGAAGAAAAAAATAATGAGCGCAAAATGGGCATAAAAATGAATAGCGAGAAACTGCAGTGAGCATTAACGATGTGTGTGCCTACTTTATACATATATGACCAAACCTTATGTGCGCTTTCTGCTAAACACCTTTTTCCTTTTTGGCTTTCTCAATCCTCATCACAAGTGCGTGTGTCTGAACATATATGCACGCATGTATATATTATACATATATATCTAAATTTTTAATCTACACTATTTTAAATCTCATCCTTTTTTTTTTAATTTTATTTTACGTGTTTTTTGAAATTGACACAAGAGGCAATATAGTTACATTTTACAATGTCCCTACGGTACAGTGTTTATACCTATGTCGTATGTGCGTGTGCATCTGCGTATGGATATCCATGAAATAAATGAAAAGGATTGCTAAAAAAAAAAAAAAAAAAATCTCTTCATTTCTTCACTTGGTGCATTTTATTTGTTGCCGTATGAATAGTTATTTTATTTATATATGTACGTTGTGCTGTCCTAACCATGTCATATATCATGTGTGTATGTATGCGTATGTGTGTACACAGGCGTATGCACATATATGCATATGTCCAGGTTTTAGTTCATTGTTAACTCATCTTTTGAAACGAGTATCATGTCGTGAATCAGTAATTCCCATATTTATGAACCCTTATCGAAATGACTTGTTAAAATTGTGCTGTAATCACGGTGATTGTAATTCTTCGCACATTGTTAGCTTCACCGGATGAAGAGGGAGCGCCGTGGCATGCGAAATCGTCCCTATAAAACAACGCACTTTTCAGCTCCTCATTGTCGCCACACGGCAGCGTGCGACGTATGAGTAGTGCTTGTACCATAAACAAGTTGAACAAATGAACGGCCTTTTTAAGAACAAATATGGATCAGTCTTTTCCTACATGCGCATGTTAATTTGTTATGCATATTAGTAGGTGTATTTATTCAGTTCGGTCTGTTTTACTTTTTCATTTTTATCTTCTAAATTTTTAGCAAGATGGAAAAAAAAAAAAAAAGAGCATAACGTATGGCACATGGCGTAAAACACACAATGTGCGATATGCAACACATAGGGGCTGCCGACAGGGGAACAGCATTGCACTATAACAATAAACAATCTACACAGTGCTATAAGTTGGCTACAATATTTGTGAAAAAAAAAAAAAATATATATATATAGGGAGGGAAATGAAAGGCAAACTTAGGTAATTTTTCAAAGGAGTTGAAATTCAAATGATAAAAAAGAGGTACTCAACAGTGATTGCACTGGCAAGCAATTAGACATAAGTAACGTTACGCGCGTGCAGACGTGCGTACATTTATGCAGAGTAAATGACAATGTGTCACCATATTGTAATTTGTAGTTTAATTAAAAAGGAGAGCTCAAAAAAGGAAAAAAAAAAAAACAATAATAATAAAAAATAATAAAACAGGAACATAAAATATGGGGACAAAATACACAAGACAGTTCAAAATGATGTAAAAACAAAGGGGGGGGGAGTGTATTAACAAATTTAATTGGGTCATTCAGGACTCGTTACATTTAGCGAACTTCCCTTGTTCTCAATAGTTGTACCGTTACGAGTGTCGCTGTTTTTGTTAAAACAATTTTTATCATCAACGTTGTTACTTAAGAGCATTTTGTCTGTTTTGGTGCTGCTGGACCCGTTGATATTAGTTTTGTAACCGTTTAAAGCATTTCCATTATCATCCTTGCCATTCCCATCGGCGATGCGGTACTTGGGCCCCACCCCCGAAGGGACATAAGCCGAGTCATTGTTAACATCGTTGAAACTAAAGGCAAAGTCGGTTAAATGAGGATCCAAGAGCACCTTAATTTTGCTATACAAATCTGCAGCCGACGGTCTCTCCGCTGGGTTTGGTTTGGACATTTGTAGCATCAAAATGTACCATGGATTTAAATGAACTTTCACATAATCCGGAACGGCATAGTAATTCCTAAAGTCATTTAATCGTTTGTATCTTTCCATTATCGTATTAAATCTTGGGCACAGCAACTCTAATAATATTAGCGCAGCGCTATATATGTCTGCCTTTTCATCACATAGGGCACCTCCCTCAGGGGCGGTATATCCTGGAGTGCCTATAATTTGTCCTTTCAATGAAATTTGGCTAGTTATTGTATTATGATTAATATCCGTGTAGATGTTATCCTTAAAGCTGTCTATATTGTTTAAATCCTTTTCCCTTTTTTTTTCTTCAATAAATCGTACTAATCCCAGATCCCCAATTTTTAACGTATACGTATCTGGATCCACAAAAATATTTTCTGGTTTTAAGTCTCTGTGGATAAAGCACCTGGAATGGATGTCCTTCAAACCTTTAATTAGCTGCTTAAACAAATCAAATTCTAAAGGATGATTCATATTTTTGTCTCGGTAGGTAAAATGCAAAGGCTTATCACTTCTTGTCGATCTATCTAGCCACTTACGTAGTGTGTAACCCTTACACAGCTCCATTTGTAATAGCAGTACAATGGAAAATTCTGGCGCCACTATTTTTTTCTTGTAACTTTTTATTTTTTCCGCATTTTCTTTATTAGCTAATTCTTCTTCACTTTTATCCTTTTCTTCATTTTTTATTTTTTCCTTATTTTTATTATTAATATTATCTTTTTTGTGTGTGTTTTTGAATGGTTCGTTCCTAGCAAGGGGCTCCTCTTCAGTATATTTTTTTCTCGCGTTGGTCATCAATGTGTTCTCATTTGTGGGACTCTTAGTCCTATGTGCATTTTTTTCCGATGCGTCGTAACCACTATTGCTTTGCTCGTTGCTCACCGCGCGTTGTCGTTGTTCTGGGTGCTCATTTTCTGTTTTCTCTTCTTCGTCAACCTGACCGTTTGGAGGAGCAGCCATTTGGCGCTTGCCGGAGGATGTATCATTACGGTTCTGCGCGTCATTGTTGCGAGTGCTAGGCGGTGACGTCTTCTCATCCGGGGCGACCTCGTCAACGTGCACGCTCGGTTCATCATTGTCTGCGAAAACTACCAAGTCTCTATCTTCCTCACTTAGATAGCCACATCCAAACGGATCGTATTCTTGAAAACTTGAGTTGAAGGAGGCAATGTTGAACTTGTTTTGCGCAGTGTAATGTATCTCGTTTCGTCCCTTTCGATCCCCATTTTGCTTTTCCATGTATATAATTTTTTTCTTCTTCTTTTTCTTTTTCTTCTTGTTCTTAGCATTAGCATTGGTGTAGATACTATCAGAAAAGTTTTTATCGCTTAGATATCTTTTTCTACTCTTGTTTTCATTTCTTTTGGAATTCAGTCCATCATTGTCACTGTAAAACGTTAAGCTTCGTTCATTTTTCTTTTTAATAACCTTTTTAAAATTTTTTAAATCGCTTTTTTTCCTTTCCCAAGATGATAACTTTTCATAGCTAATTGGACTATCACTGTCATTATTTTTACTGTACATTTTTTTAAAAGAATCTTTATTCTTCTTAACCAAGTTTTGTATTTCCTTGGGCATCACATGCATGGGCAGAAACTGTGGCTCTTCACACCACCAAGTGTAGTAGCGGACAACATGCTTACTGTAAATATCTCTATTGGCTGCAATTTCACGAAAGTACCTTCTGGAGCTCACATTATCTAACGAACTCACTTTTAAGTAAATAAATTTTACAGCATAGGTTGGAGACCCTGGTTCCAGACGATGCGACACTTTATACACAGAGCCAAATCCACCCTGACCAATGAGAGAAATATTTTCGAATGTTCTCATAAATCTTCCGTTTTCTAAAAAATCTGCCAGGGGAGCATCATACGGAATGTGTGATCTTTGAATTATCGATAAATTTCGTGCACTGGCACTTTTATTATTTTTGATTTCATTATTATTTGCATGATTGTCCAATTTGCTCTTCACCGGTGTGCTCTGCTTATGCATGTTGACAAGATAGTCATTGCCATTATCAGCAAGCTTAGTGTATTTGCTTTTATTTTTTTTCTCCTCAGTTGTTTTATTCTCTTCATTGAGATATTTCTTGCCAGCGAGCTTTTTCCCTGAATTGTTCATATCTTCAGCGTGGCTATTTTCATTTTCATCCTTGTTGGAATGGTCCGAATTTGTGTCGTATTCCTTACTGCTCTTACTGTAGATACGCTCGTCCGGTTTGGAGCCCACTACTTTTGTCTTATTCATTTTGAGAAGATGATCTACTAGAGTGTTCTTTTTCATAAATTTTTTATTATAGTTCGTAAGGAAATTTATAAAATCACTCTTATCGAAATCTTTTTCGTTTATGTGTTTTTCATTCAAGTGGTTATGTTTTTTGTCCTTCTCATTATCGGTGTAGTTCTTCTTGTGATACTTGTTCCCCAACTTGTAGCTGCTTCTAATCCTTTTTTTTACTACGAAGGACTGTTTATAAGTAACGTCTTGCGAAGCAGCTCTTCTTCTATGCATATAAAACATATTCGTTCCGGTGCTATCTGATTTTAAAAGTTCCCTCGATTTTGTTCTGCCCGTACTCATGATGGACATGCTGGGAAGGCTGTATTTTGAGGATCCATCCCAGTAGCTATGCGCATGTAAGTTATGCATCCCTTCATTTATATCATAAAATTTGCTATCACTATCGGAGTCTCTAGCATGTTTTGCTAGAATGTCAATTAAGGTTGGTTGCTGCTCCAGCTCTTTCAATCTACTGGCTATCTCCCTTTTCATGTTATTGTTTAGTTCCATTTTGGTTAAATCGTCGTAATTATTTTTCGCTAATGCATTTTTCAGCCTTACACGCTCATCATGTAGCAGGCGGTATCTTAACTTTAGCAGATCCTGATCCCTAGCATAGTCATCATAATCTTTCATCTTTTTCTTTTTCATAATAACCTTACTGCTGCTATTGTTATTGTTTTTTTTTTTCCTAAATATTCGATAAATGAACACAAAGGGAACTACAAATATGAGCATAACAGCATAGAACATGCTCCAATACCACCCCTTCTTGTACTTCAATGTTGATACTTCTTTCAGCTCTTGGCTTCGTGAATAGGCAAAGTTTTTTCTTCTCCTTTTTACCAGAAAATTTGCATTATCTGATATCATGTGGTCCACATCATCATTTGGGAGGTTAAAATCTCGGTGGTTGTAGGCAAACGCGTTTTGTATGACTCTGTACAAATTGGACAATAACAAGCAGTCGTCCTGACTGATGTAGTTGTTAAATATCTTGTCCCATATGTTGAGCATGGAACAGTAGTCGAAGCATATTTCGTTTTCTTCAAAATACATGTCGATAAATTTATTTATGTATTCACAAATGTGTATTGGTCGACCCGGTCCTCCGCGACCAGGCCCATGGCTTCCACCTAGACTACCACTAAAGCGGCCACTAAAAGGGCCGCTGAAACTGTCGCCAAAAATGCTACCATAATGGCCTCTATGACTACCACTGTATCTTCCCCCATCTGCGTCGCTGTAAGGCGAGTAACTCAGATGCCTCGTGCTATCCATGCCGGGCAAATAATACAAAAACTCCTCCTTCGTCTTCTGATACTCGCGTATAAGCCCCTTCATTTTGTATATATAATTTATGGGTATTTTTTTATTTCTATCGTACACAAAAATTATGTTGGACAAAAGGTACCGTATTTCCTTCTCAATGGAAGTTATGCTCACCGATATATTATTCAATCTGTGCAATAATTTTTTCCCATAATTTATATTTTCATCAAAATTGCAAAAGGTTTTCTCAACATGGTTCTTTGCAAAATCGCTAGACGAAAAGGGCAAAAGGAGAGTGTTTTCCTTCTTAAAATTTAAAGCATTGTAGCTGAAGCCCTTTACATTATCATAACCAGGAAACATGTTGCTATTCTGCTTCATTATCACGTTTAGGGTGAAAATGTTCGATGCACGCTTATAACTGAGCGCAAAAACAGAGGACACCGCGTCGGAGAAAATAAAAATTTTGGACTTTACATTTGAACCCTCTTGGTTCATTCCCTCCCGAACTCGGCTTCTGCGATCATTTGGTTCATCGGATCTGTGATGAGAAATCTCATCGTCAATCTCCTCAATCGGCACATTGCTCCCCACCCTCGCGTCACCATTCCTGTCCAGGAAACCCACGCCCTCCTCGGGCTCATTATGTACGTTTTTCGCTATGCTGTACGTCTTGATCATTTTGTCCATTTCCAGCGGCCGCAGTATCAGCTTGTTCCCCACAATTTCAATAAGCGAGTTTATGAACGTCGAATCTTGTTTTTGACTGTCCGTTATGAAAATAGATCCAACGTCAACCCAAGTTGTTATCCATTTTTGTTTCAGCGATTTTTCATCAACAGCTTTTATCATCCACTGAACCATGCTTATTTGTAGCTGCCTCCTCTCCGTTTTTCTTCTTCTCTTTTTTTTTTTTCTTTTTCTTATCCTATTTCCCATTATACCTATATCCATAAGGTTACTACTATGGTGATATCTACTTAGCGAACTGGTTCTGTTCAAACTCATGAGGAGTTTTTTAATTAGAACTTTTTTCCTTTCCCGTAGATTGTTTCTCGCAACCTTCAGGATGTATTTCTCATTATCGTCCATATTTTTCTCATCATACTTGTCTACATTGCTATACTTACTTTTTGGTGTGTATCTGTAAATCTCGTTTTCGTCGAAATATTCATTCACAGCATCTTCTGAGTGCAGCATTGCGCTGCCTTCTTTATGATCCAAAAATGGCTTAGTGATTTTGTCCCCATGGGTAACGCTCATGATGCTATTGTTATGGCTTTCCCTTCCTGCTACTGCTTCGTCCTTTATGGCGTTATTTTGGTATTCGCGCGGTGGGACTTCCTTACCACTTGCCCTGCGTTCGGCGTAGTCAGGGTCATCATCGTGGTCATCATCATGCTCATCATCATAATCATCATCCGCATGAGCACGCCCAGATTGAACCTCCTCCCCAGGCTCGGCTTCCCCATGTGCGGATCCGTGCACATCACCCCACTCGGCCGCATTCTCATTTTGCACTAGGGCGTCTGGCCTTCCGATGGAGTTAATCTTATCATATTCTCCGTCCCTGTTGGGTAACGTTTTCTTTCCTTTTTTTACGAGCGTATCTTCCAAACTTTCGTCGTATTTTTTTATGACTTCCCCTGTTTCGTAATCCAAGTTAACGATGCTGGAGTGTCTGGAACCCATAAACACGATATTAGGAAAAAGCGGCGATTTGAAGGGCGAATTGTTTACAACATCCTTAATGTTAATGTTTAGTGGCATGGCTTCATTATTTTCATTAATGTAAAATAAATCTCCGCTATAATTTGAAAGCAATCTTTTTGTTATATTTTTATTTCTCTTCAATTTTTCTTCATGGTAATTTTTTTTCTTCTCACTGCGTTTGGAGCCATCTTGCATAACTCTGTCGTCCCCCTTAAAATGGTCATGTTGGGATGAACTTGTTTTTCTAAGATCGAGAAAATTCTTGTAATGTAGCTTTTTCATTGCTCTCCGTTTTAAATTATCATGTCTGTTGTGTTTATTTTTTGGTCGCATATCTTCAAAAGGGAGATCATACCTCGTTTCATTCCTAATCGACTGGTATTCACTCCTCCCTTTTTTGTCCTCATCAAAGTTTACGTGGTCCTGGATATTCTTCACTACCTTATGTTTCCAGTAGTATGTTCCATCAGTGGAAACTTTGTATAAAAATCCAGAGGTGTCAAGGACTATCAGGTCATAGATAAATATCGTCTCATCATATTTGTACTGTCCATAAAAATATTTATCTCTTTCATATTTTGTTATATTATTTTGGTTGTTGCTTATGTGTCCCTGCTGTTCATACGGGAATAGGATATTTTTATTCTCCAAATTATTAGTCCCGGGAAAAACATTCATACGGTTGTTTAACTGTTCATCTTCTACAATAATTATATCATGTTCATTCGGCCCCGCTTCAATGCTAGTGCGTCCGTGCCTTTTTTGATTGCTAAACAGGGCGGTAACATCTTCGTCCTTTTTACACATAATAAAATTCTCCTTCTCTGTTTCTCCAGCAGACGGGTACTTCGCTTGGGCTCTATTGAAATGGTATGGTTCATCCTTAATGGGATGATCGCTCGGATGGTCTACATGACCGTTTTTACTTACAATTATATTTTCGTACGTGTTCCCCATGTCACTATTGGGTATGTCCCCTTTAAATGACTCATGGTCAATTTCTTCCCTCAACATTCTTTTGAAAATACTCCTACTTTTACTTGGGGGAGGAACACCATACGCGGGGGCGCGATAAAGCCAGCCATCGGCGTTTTCGCTTTTAAACTCCTCCCAGTTTCTCATTGTATCACCCAATTTGGGTATCTTGTGGTTGACATTGTTCAAGCGGATCGGACGGCCGCGAACATCACTGACGGAATAAGGGTAATTCTCGTCTTCATATAAATTGGGGTCATATGAGTTATTACTCCCATATGTGTTTCCCCTGTGGTAATATTCGAAGCTGTTACTACCACTGCAATAGCTGTCTGCAGGTTGCTCGCAAACAGGTTTGAACACATCGTTATGTTCTTCATCGTCACACAATGTGGCACTCCTTCTACTTGGGGTCGCCGCAGTGCATAATAGCTCTTCCTCCCTGGGCGAAGGACTCCTGGTGTGTAGACGGATGGTCCCATTCGTTCTTGCCTTCTGGTGCACATGATGATACTGTTCAATTTTATTTTTCATACTTTTATAATTGTCCATGTTTGTCAACCGCTCTATGCTTACCATTTTCTCGAAAATATTTTTTATGTTGGTTAAAATTGTTTCATTCATTTTCTTTTTAAGCATATAATTGTCGGCAAAATTATTGCTAAATTTGTTCCTCCTATCTTCAGGGGGTGAACATTGACCTTTGCTTACGTTCTTCATGTTGATATGGGAATGGGAATGCGGGCTGTGGAGACCATGTGGATAATATAGATCATTCCGAACGCCCCCATTTCCATGATTGGAATTTTCTCCTGGTATCATTTCCACATGATCATATCTCTCATCATCATCATTAAATTGACTTCTTTCTGTCGAATAATTGTAATAACTCATTCTGATGCGTATAGTGTCATATTTCTCATCATGCACATATGTTTTAATAAATCTCTGTATATTATCGTGGTATATAACCCCTTAGTCAGGCATTAACAACAGTGTGACAATGTTTGTTCCTTAATGTGACATTCTTCTCTTACGGACAAAGGCGGGCATATATTTTTTGAAAAAAAAAAAACAAAAATATATTATGCCGTACAAATGGAGGGGGAAAAGAAAATTCCAACTCATTCAAAATTTGTACAATTCTTGTGCAAAATTAAATCAAAATTTACTCAATTTATACAAGGTATTTAAAAAAAAAAAAAAAAAAAAACTGCTGAGTGAGTGAGCCTTTCTTATCTATGTTATTCTTGTCCTCCTCTTTCTGCTATAAATTTTACGCATTCAAAAGGGGACTCCTGTTTTGCTTATTATGTTTAGCGCGTTGCTTGGGACCTAAATATATGTTCATTCCACAGGACATGTACGGCCTGTAGTACTTCTAAGCATTTCTCAGTATGTCTGCCAAAATGACATATGTGTGTACGAATTTTTTTTGTGCGAAGATATTGGTGTGACTTCTTTTTTTCTCGTACATATATGTTACACACATTCGTGTGATGATGCTGAAAATAGTTATGTCTGAGAACGTTCTATATTATGCCTTACATGAATGGGTTATTCTTTTATGTGTATAAAAACATCGCATACGCAGGATTTTCCTCCGCTCAGCTATTCCTCTACATGTCTATGTTATTCCTCAAAAAAGAAAAAAATGTATCCAATCTGCTGTAAGGCAAGTTTTTTCCTTATGGACAATTTATTCCTTTGGGCAATACAGAAATGAAAGAGTTATGTAACATAAAGTTTGACAAAGTATTTTTTTTTTTGCGTCTTCATGGGAAGCAAAAAGAACGGCTTAAAACGCTGTGGCCGATAATAACTGTGTTATTTATTTTACAACATAGTGTACATTATGGCAACTGCTTCATTACATCTTTCCATAAGACCCGTTGGACGTTGTTATGAATGAAAAATTCGCCTCCTCTTTCTGTCTTGCGCCAATTGTTTGCGTATACAAGTAGTCAATTGCTTTTTTTTTTTTTTAATACAAACGCGACTCTCCTTTATCTTCTGTGTTACTAAGTTGCTCTTTTTCTCCTACAATAATGAATTTCTTTATGATTCAGGACAAAATCGATTGGTAATACTCAGAAGGGGTTTGCGCTGATAGAACCCTACCAAGCTATAAACGATTTTGTTCTTTTTTGGGTGACAAAAATTTCTGGTGCTATCTATCTCCTAATATAGAATAATGTAATAACTATGTATGATCATCTATGTACAATTTTTGTTTTGCTATGGCTAATTATACTGAAAAAACTTCCGATGGGATAATGTAACTTTCCCCTTGGCATTACATCATCATACTATGGTTATTATTTGCTAAGAAACATTCTATATATTTCTTCTGCGTTTACACAGTGGAGTTGACGGTGGAAAGGAAATCACCATAAAATAAAGAAATTTTTGTTCACTTTTTTTGGAAAAACTCTAATTAGTCCTGCCTATTTAATGTATACTCTACATTGACTTTTTTACAATCCCTTAAATTATTTATGTAAAAAAGTGAAGATTCCTTTAAAGGAAACAACACTTATATGGATTAAGCGGGCGGTATTATATATATATAACGCCGGCTGTATTAATGGGTAAGGAAAAAAAAAAAAAAAAAAA